AATTCTTGGGATTTCTTGGTTTTGGTACACGACGCACAGTTCCACTTTTGGCTGCATCTGGTATTACCATGCGAGAAGGATCTGAAAATGTTATAAAATGTAGAGGTAATGCTCAAATGAAGCATATACGCTGACCAATCGGCTCAAAAGGTGTGACAGGCTCCAATGTTACTTCATCGATACTTTGACTATATGGAGAGGCAGGAGTACTTCTACCCTAAAAAAGTGAATGATTAGTTTACGAGTTTGATTAGTTGGTAGTTCATATAATCTACATCTAAATTATACAAGCCATCCAACAATTTGATTTGGGTGATGATATATCAGCATTGACTAGTGGTGATAGTAAGCCATGAAAAAAAATTTTTTTTGAGCAATGTCGCTTTCTGTCATGCTATGTTCTAGTCTAGGATGTATTCTATTAATTTTTATTTCAACCCAATTTTTTTTCGTAGTTGTCTCACAATACTGAAGCACTTAATTTTTAGATGGAAAAAGAATTGCTAGATTAATGGCAACACAATTGTTTTTCAGTAACGGAATAATTACAAAAAACTAACGCTATTGGCTCTTCTACAAACTCCTCCAGTGAACTGTTTCGGTCTTGAAAGACGCTCCACACTGTTCTGAAAATTTGCAAAATTAAGACTACATTAGTACAGATAAAAGTTGATCAAATTGTCACCTTTATAATTTCCATCCTAGCATCAGCAGACAAGCCAACGTATGGGCTAGACGATGACACATTATGTTCTTTAAGTGGAAGAGAAGTGAACATCGTGTTTCGAGGTACACGAGGCTGCAATAAAATTTGGTAAATCATGCTCAGTCCTGCCAGTTTAAGTTATTATGCTTTGGTGGAAATTCATCAGTTCTTCCCCAAGCCCAAAGATAAAAGGAATTCTTTGAGCATATGCTGAGAGCTCGCAAGGTAAAAGACCCTTTCCGAACGCACTGTTTCCAATATTCGTTCGCTGGAGAGAAATAGGAATGATAATTTTTGGTTGCAAAGACATGAATAAAGATTTCAGTCACAGGCTTCCCCTTTGGCTATGTCATAGTTTAAAAACTGATTAGTGAATAGCAATTGCGCCGCTCTCTTTCATTACATCATAATTTTCAAAAACAAAGTAGTGAACAGCAGTGGCGCCAACAGATTTTTTTGGCGGAGAGGGGGGGGGTCGGAAATTTTTTT